CGCCCCCCGAACCCCGACAACAACAACGGTGGACTTAGACAGCGACCAGCATCAACTGACAAACCGAAACAACATGGCGAGCAGGAGTAACGGAAGGCCATTAGGCCCCCCCACCCCCGCTGCCACTGCACTCCCCCACCACCCTCATAGTGTTCTCAGGGCTAAAGGCATTCAGGCTCCTCCTCGGAAACATTCGCCTTCGACCACTTGTGAACTGAATGTAAATACAAACTGAAGCTCCCTCTACACTGATCCCCCCCCCACCCCGCATCAAACACTCCCAGGGACAGCACGGGGTTAGATACAGAGTAAAGCTCCCTCTACACTGTCCCCATCAAACACTCCCAGGACAGAGACAGCACAGGGTTAGATACAGAGTAAAGCTCCCTCTACACTGTCCCCCATCAAACACTCCCAGGACAATACAGTACTTGGCCTGTACCTGCTCTGCAACTCCACTCGCCTCTCACCTTCAGATGCTGAATCTTGACCAGGAGGCTGTTCATTTTCCGCTCCATCTCCTCGGCCTGTTCCAGGGACAGGATGACGGGGGTTCTGCTGGTTTCTGAATCTCCGTCGTTGGCCGTGGACCCGGCAGCACCCTCAGGAAGAGATTGTTTAGCGTGCAAATCTTCTGCTGTGGATCAGAAACCAGCATGGATCATGGAACATGGGAGTGCACGGAGGCTTTCAGTCTATTATCACCATGAGACATCTCCCCGAGCTGTCCCACTGTGCCCTCAGCTCATCCCCCACAGCCCTCAAACATTTTTCCCTCCTCCCCCTCCTTTTTTTTTCTTTTGGAAGCTCCTGTTGAATCTGCTTTTGCTTAGCCTTACAGGCAGCACAGGTCACAATTACTTGCTGCGTCAAAAAGAAACAGATTCTGCTCCCTAGTCCCTCCACCCACCCTGCATTCACTTCCCAATTCTCTGTATCCCTCTGGTATCTGACCCTCCTGCCCCTGCTTTTCTTTCTCGCTGATCGAAACCTCCTCAATTTGAACACCTCGATCCGATCTGAGCTCACCGGAGCGTAGGAGGTTGAGGGGGTGACCTTATAGAGGGGCATGGGTAAGGTGAATGACAAGGGTCTTTTCCCCAGGGTGGGGAGGTGGGGTTTAAAACTCAGGGACATACTTTTAAGGTGAGAGGAGAAAGATTTAAAAAGGGCATGAGGGGTAGCTTTATTTTAAACACAAAGCGTATGGGGAATGAACTGCCAGAGGAAGCGATGGATGCGGGTACAGTTACAATTAAAAGACATTTGAGTAAGTACATGAGTAGGAAACGTTTGGAGAGATATGTGCCAAATGCAGGCAGGTGGGACTAGTTTAGTTTGGGAAAATGGTCAGCATGGATTGGTTGGACTGAAGGGTCTGCTTCCATGTTGTATAACTCTATGAATCTTTTCTGGCAGCCCTGTAATGGACCAGACCAAAACCCCTTCAAATATATCAAGGAGATAGCGCAGACCCCAACTTTTATCTATTTAAAGGCAAGCGTAAAGTATAATGTTCCAGATTGGTTACACTACTCGGCTTTAAGCAAAACAAACTTGATTCTTACCCTGTAGTTAAAATACAAACAAAAGAAAGAAGAATTGCTGTAACTTTAACTCTACTGGAAAACTTAATCGAATAATAGATTATTTAAATACTAAACAGTAACTGCTCCAATATAGTAACATCCTAGAAACACACCTTTGGCAAAGGCAATTTCAGTAAAACAAATTGTCTCATTTGTGGTGTTTCTCCAATTCAGGAAGACAGAACATCAAGAGAAAATCCTGGTAGAGAGAGAGGGATATGGCATCTTCCAGAACCAACTACCAAAACCCCATAACTGCTGGAAGTTAAAGCAAAACCCTGGATCTGTGGGAGCCTGAATCCACCCATTCATGCTGCTTCTATTAAAAAAAAACCCAAGGCCTCACAAGCTGTTTACTTCATTGGCTTGGAAGAAACAGCTCAACACCTATGACTCAAACCTCTCCTCTCACAGAACAAAACAGGACAAAATACACCTTCCAAAGTCATAGTATCGTCATGCCCCTTTCTCTCTCACTCTCCCTACCCCTCCTGAATCCATCCCCTTTCCCCCCCCTGCCCTGCCCATTTTCTCCCCCCCCCCCACGTGACATGCCCCCTTTCCCACCCCCTTATGTGCTTTTAGCCCTAATCTCGCAGAGTCCATTACTCTATGCACATCCAGAGAGCTGCCCAAAGCCTGTCCCACCATCTACAAGGCACAAGTCAGGAGCGTGATGGAATACTCCCCACTTGCCCTGGATGGGGGCAGCTCCAACAACACTCAAGAAGCTCAACACCATCCAGGACGAAGCAGTCCCTGCTCGATTGGCACCACATCCACAAACATCCCACTCCCTCCCCCCACCGATGCTCAGTAGCAGCAGTGTGTACCATCTACAAGATGCACTGCAGAAATTCACCAAAGATCCTCAGACAGCACCTTCCGAACCCACGACCACTTCCATCCAGAAGGACAAGGGGCAGCAGATACACGGGAACACCACCCCCTGCAAGTTCCCCTCTGAGCCACTCACCATCCTGACTTGGAAATATATTGCAGTTCCTTCACCGTCGCTGGTTCAAAATCCTTGAATTCCCTCCCTAAGGGACATTGTGGGACAACCCACAGCTGGAGGAGTGCGACTGGTCAAGCTCACCACCATCTTCTCGAGGGGCAATTAGGGACAGGGCAATAACTGCTGAGCCCAACCAGTAACGCCTGCATCCCCCAAAAGAATATAAATAATATTGAGCGCTTCTTGTTACCAATTGGCAACCAAGAGTCCTTCCAACCAAGCAGCACTACTCCTGACTCCAATTAATAAATAAAAGGTGTTCAAAAAACTCAAAAGTAAAAGTAACAATGACCAGCGCTTTTCCTTACAGCTCTACTTTGGAGATGAAGCTTCAAGTTATTGGAAGAATGCTGAGTACTGGCCTCAAAATGTGCCCACTAACTGTGCCACCCATCCCTGCCCTGCTGGTCTTACCTGTCCCTTTGAGCTGACACTCCTCGCCCCCCTGTCTCTCGGGCGGCTCCTCTGCGCCTTCGCCCTCTTCTCTCCCATCGCCCTGGCTCTCGGCTTCCTGCTGCCCCTCCGCTGCCACAGCTGCTGCCTCCTCTTCCTGCTCCTGCTCGTCCTCCTCCTCCTCCTCCTCACCACCGCCACCACCATTGGCTTGGGCCTCGCCCTCGCCAGTGTCAGGCTCCTGTTCGGAACCGGTCAGCGCCGAAGATTCCTTGGCGGTTCTCTTGCTCGTCTTGAGCTCCCGCTTCATCGCGTGGACTGCAGGACGAGGGGAAAAAGAGAGGTTGGTCAAAGCAGCTCAAAAGCGGGCGCCTAGAAACAAGAGGGGGCCATTCAGCCCCGTGAGGGAGCGAGGAGGGGAGCGGTAGGAAGTGAGGGGAGAAGAAGGGGAGTAGAACGATGGGAGGTGGAGATAGTGTGAGAGAAAGACAAGGGGGAGAGAGACTGAAGATGAGGGGGAGAGCGAGAGAAGGAAAACGAAGTGCGAGACAGGGGAGACTGGCAGAGAGGGTGAGATCGAGGAGATGTTAATGAGGAGCCGTGAGGGAGGGAGAGGGAGAAGCCAGGGGGGAGTGAGTGACAGAGGACGGCGAGGGGAGGACAGGGCCGGCTGAGTGCAGAAGCATGGGGTGAGAGATGAGGGCATTGGGAAGATGCTGGCATAGCTCTCAGTTGCAATATGTGAAGCACTTGGACTGAGCCTCATATACACATTCCAGTCAACCTCAACACCTTCAGAGAAGCTGTATTTGTACGGTGTGCCGTGTGTGTGTGTGTGTGCCGTGTGTGCCGTGTGTGTGTGTGTGTGTGTGTGTGTGTGTGTGTGTGTGTGTGCGTGGGTGCATGTGCCCGTGAGTGAGAGCGAGAACGCGCGCGCGTGCACGTTTGAGAGAAAGTGAGAGGGTGTGTGTGCCTGTGTGTCTGTTTGAGGGAAAGTGAGAGTGTGTGTGTGCGTGCATGCGTGCACGTGTGTGTGTGTGTGTGTGTGTGTGTCTGTGTATGTGTGTGTGTGTGTGTGTGTGTGTGTGTGTGTGTATGTGCATGTATGTGTGTGGCTGTGTGTGTGTGTATGTGC